TTTAGACCATAAATGGATGTTTATATTCATTTCTCTACGCTGTAAAACAAACTAATACCGTCAACCTAAATATATGTGCTTGTACTGTTAACATTCAAATTACTCATAACCTTGTTTTATTCAAGTCAATATTAGAATGTCTGTTATAACATAATCAACACCAATGAAAGTCTTTCTTAAAGGTCAGATTAGGTGGGTAAAAAACCCTCAAAGTAGCAGATTGATTGAATGATTTTTATTTAATCATTTATGTATTTATTTTCCTGACTAAATTTCTCTGTTATGCTAGTTTAGTCAAAAAAATAAATAAAATAAAATTGATTTGACACTAACAAATTTGATACACAATGTTTAATTCTATTTTACCAGGTCAGATTTTTAAGCATGTATCTCTTCTCACCTCAAAACGGCTTAAAAAGGAACTACTTCCAGAAAGAAAAACTAACATGTAGAAGGTGTGAAACACACTCTGTGGATTCCCTTCATGCTTTTGTTAACAGATCTTATTGACACCTGACTATTGGTCATTCTAATGACAAGTTCAAGCCTTTTGTCTGCTCAGTGGTATGTGATGAGCGCTAAATGAAGTCACACCTCTGCCCATTGTCATTATCAACTCATTAGGACACACATACTGCACTCAATGGATGATCCTCCCGTTTGCAAAGAATTCCATTTGGGTAAAATGCAGATAGTTTAATTTTCAGTTAAACTTGGAGTACCTAGACAGACCAGTCTTGTTTTGTCTTGACCTGTTTAACATTTATATTTCATCACCAGTAGAAACTATTTTATGGTTTATTAATTCAAGCTTGGAGAAGTTGATTAATTACAGATTTCTTCTTTTACATTACTTAGAAAAGGTATACAGTATAACAATACAGCAAAAAATTATATTCTGTCTAAATATCTATGAAATAAATTAAAATGATATATTTACCATTTACCATATATAGATGTGGTTATTTTACTTTTTATTTACCATGTATTTGTATGGTTGTTTAATTTTGTGCATATACATTTATTATTTATTTTTTATAATTAATTTGTTTGATTTATTTACGAGTATATAGAGTTTTCCATGCATGTGTATGGTTATTTTTTATTTAGTTATTTATTTTTTATTTTATCTGCTATTTTTAGGTTATGTCTTAAAGCCAAATGTATTTATTTGGTACACAGGGTATATATTTAGGGCCCGAGCACCGATGGTGTGAGGACCCTATTGGAATTGCTCCGTTTCTTATTCTTCTTCTTCTTCTTCTTCTTCTCCAAAGTGAATCGCATTTTTGAGGGCCTATTTATTTTTTATAATTAATTCGTTTGATTTATTTACGAGTATATAGAGTTTTCCATGCATGTGTATGGTTATTTTTTATTTAGTTATTTATTTTTTTATTTTATCTGCTATTTTTAGGTTATGTCTTAAAGCCAAATGTATTTATTTGGTACACAGGGTATATATTTAGGGCCCGAGCACCGATGGTGTGAGGACCCTATTGGAATTGCTCCGTTTCTCATTTATTATTTATTTTTTATAATTAATTCGTTTGATTTATTTACGAGTATATAGAGTTTTCCATGCATGTGTATGGTTATTTTTTATTTAGTTATTTATTTTTTATTTTATCTGCTATTTTTAGGTTATGTCTTAAAGCCAAATGTATTTATTTGGTACACAGGGTATATATTTATATTTGTATTTTTAACAGCCATTTTTGAGTATATCATTGTAAAAACCAAGTTTGTTTTTTTATTTACCATGCATTTGCATGGTTGCTTTATTTATTATTATTATTATTTTTTTATTTAAGCCACTTTACAGTAGACTATATCTTATAGTAAAACCAAGTTTTGTGCATATTTGTATTCATATTTTTATATTTGTGGTGCATTTCTATGTTTCTATTTAAATGTCTGTTTTGCATCTATTTCTGTTATATATAAATGAAGCATATATAAATATATTAATGTATTTATTATTCTATTGATGTGTTTATTGTCTGTATGATTAATTATGACCTATGAAAATATTTTCTATGATGTTACTGAGGATTTCAGCTGACCTTGATGTGTAGAAGTAGCACTAAGCTGGTAAGTACTGGGACCTTTTTCTCTGATCCTGCAGTTGTTGATTTGTATTGATTCATCTGGTTGATCTCTTTGGTTAAACCACAACACAAACCATTAGGATTTTGACACGAGTAGTTCCAGTAGAGTGAAACCAAATCGAAATCAGCTCTCAGGAGAAATCTCCGCTCATGCAGATCTGGATTTCTTTGCTTTCTCTGTGGTGAAGGACTGGAAAAGCTCATCTCTTATCTGAAGTATATGTCAGTCTACTATCTCACGCTGTTCTCCTCTCGGCAAATGACTGACATCCCGTGAGCAAACAGTCTTAACTGGACCTGTCAGAACATGAGTACACCTGTATTGTGTGCGAGAAGAGAGGAGAAAGCCGAATGTGTGAGGAACACAATAATCACAGCCCTGAGCTGCTTATCTCCAGAGATGCAGCATAAGCTTTGCTCTTTGCTCTCCATTTTGACCATTGTGCAAGCAGAGTAAATTTGCTCTTGGCCCGAGGGGATCTGAACCCCACCCTGCTTCCAAACTTATCTGTCCGTCCGTCAGCCCTTCAAATGTCTCACACCTTCACAACCTCACCATACAAAATCTTAATGAACATTTCCAAATAAACCTTTGGAAGAGATCAAGCTAACACTTCTTTTCATCAGATACCCTACTGAAATAATGCATGAAATGCCACTAAACTTAATTCCGAGACTCTATCAGAGTTTTAGGAAACAATGCATGCCAGCATTGTTTTCTAGATAACAGATTAAAGAGCCAGTTTCAACAAAAAACTTGTATTTCCAATGTCAGAGAGCCTGAACCCCCTGCTATCGGGTTGTTTGCTGTGCTTTTCTTTCCAGGGCATTGGTATGTATGTTTAGGAATTCTAATCTTATCTGAGTATCTCTCTGCATTACCATCTGTTATGCTGCAATTACCATATACATTAGTCGACACCTGTTTCGCTTAAACCTATTTAATTACGCCAATTGTACTGGTTTGTTGTGGGCAAAAACAAAGTCATCCCCGTTTAAAAGAGGTTTTGATGTTCGGTCACAATAAAGCCAAATAATTCATAGTCCAGGGTCGTTTGGAACCGAAAGAAAAAAAAAATAATTTGCAACCGTGCGGAAATGATTTACATAAATGAAAATAGAAAAATCATTTTGATTTTAGACTAGTTCATTTGATTAAAAAAAAAAAAAAAAAAATTCCATGCCAAATTTAAAGCCATATGGCCAATTCATTTTTCACCAGATTACAATCAGTTAAGTTAGCCTAGAAAATCAATAACCCTCTGATCAAATTAGCCATGGAGTGAGACTCTATCAGAGTTTTAGGAAACAATGCATGCCAGCATTGTTTTCTAGATAACAGATTAAAGAGCCAGTTTCAACAAAAAACTTGTATTTCCAATGTCAGAGAGCCTGAACCCCCTGCTATCGGGTTGTTTGCTGTGCTTTTCTTTCCAGGGCATTGGTATGTATGTTTAGGAATTCTAATCTTATCTGAGTATCTCTCTGCATTACCATCTGTTATGCTGCAATTACCATATACATTAGTCGACACCTGTTTCGCTTAAACCTATTTAATTACGCCAATTGTACTGGTTTGTTGTGGGCAAAAACAAAGTCATCCCCGTTTAAAAGAGGTTTTGATGTTCGGTCACAATAAAGTCAAATAATTCATAGTCCAGGGTCGTTTGGAACCGAAAGAAAAAAATAATAATTTGCAACCGTGCGGAAATGATTTACATAAATGAAATTAGAAAAATCATTTTGATTTTAGACTAGTTCATTTGATTAAAAAAAAAAAAAAAAAAATCGGCGTGTATAACGATATCATTTTTATGTCTAATGTGTTAGTTATCCAAAGAAGACATCAAATTCTCACTGATTAAACAATTTGTTTATTAACTTTAACGAAAATATTATTCAACAATTCTTTATTTAAGAAATTAAAATACATAATGCATTAATCTTGCTAAATGTTAATGTTGTTACTAATGAAAGCTAATCTACTTTTATGGCAATTAATCAAACGTGCAACTCAAGTTGAATACATCTGCAATAGTTTTTTTTTAAGTTTTTTTTATGTAATGTCAAATCAAAGCAACTTAACTTTCCACAAGGTGTTTACTTACTTTTTCAAACCCCTCAGACACACATTGCACCGTGTTGCTAATCAAATTCTGAGAATGGCTTGTCATGTCGTGTCTTGTATCGGTTTGCTCAGACAAGAAGATTAAACGGTCTCGGCAAGATGGAAAAAAAGTTTATTCTGAGACGTTAATGTGCGACATTTGAAGGTGTTCCGATGGCTTTCAATCGATCCTCTCAGCTGAGCTTCATTCAATTCAATTAAGTGTTGCATTGCATGAACTCAAGATTATAAACAATATAAAACAAAACTAAAATATATGACATTTTAATACAAATTTTAAAAATGTAAATAAGAAAATGTATAATAAAATAATTTATTGTTTGACTTTATGAAATTAAGATCTTTGACAAATTCATATAGCCTATTTATCCTATAAATCAAAACAGACGGGTTTTCTCCAATAGGCTACATTTTTTTTTTCATGGTTGTAATAATTATGCTATATGAGAGTATTTCAGATCGATGTAGTACAATCAAACACCAATTCCATTTAGGAGCATCTCCAAAAAAATGCGAATTTCAAATGGAGCCCTGCTTTTTTCCACTCTTCAGTACGGATAAGCGTGAGATAAGCATCATGCGTTTAAAGACTTTTAGAGGCCGTTAAAAGGAACAACCGAAATTCTCCTTTGAAGGGATTTAGCCCCAGTGCAAGCCTTTGGATCACAGCTGTCAATCAACCACTATGGCACCGCCCACTGGTGCGGCTCCGCCTATAAACGGCGCCCGTGAACTCGAGGGACTGTCTTTCATACACCAAAGCTCAGGGAGTAAGGATGCCTGCTTCTCCAACGGGGTTTGGAAACTTCTTCATGGACAGAAACATCAACATGCCCGCTGGATATCAATTATTGGGCTGTCCGCCTGGAATGCAACAGCCACCGCCACATCTTGTGGGAATGGCTGGGGTTCCCTTACCTTTCCCAGGAATACCGGGATACAGTTTCATCCCTTATCCTCATCCGGGACACATGGCACACATTGTAAGCATTCTGAATGATTTTTATATTGCATAAATAAATTTATATTGAAATATTTATATTAATTTGTAAGTCGCTTTGGATAAAAGCGTCTGCTGAATGACTAAATGTAAATATGTATTAAATTTCAATGCAAATCCATCGTAAATAAAATGTGTAGATTTTGTACGTATTACAAGTGGTGTAATGAATATAGAAATAAAACATGACAGACTGAAAAAAATCTTTATTATTGTATTGCAACATGCATATTGTTCATTTTCTAAAACCGACTCTCTTGCTTACTTTCAGAGCAATTCCTATGACCTCAAGGCTGCATCTCCGTATCACCAAGCTCTCCTCGGACGTGGGGGACCCTATTACACTCCATATCGTCCCATGCCAGCTGATGACCCGAGTAGGGTCACCAAAGTGGCCACCAGGGAGAGCACCAGCGCTTTGAAGGCCTGGCTCAGCGAGCACCTGAAAAACCCATATCCCACTAAAGGCGAGAAGATCATGCTCGCCATCGTCACCAAGATGAGCCTCACGCAGGTGTCGACGTGGTTCGCCAACGCCCGGCGCCGCCTGCCCTGCTTTTTTCCACTCTTCAGTACGGATAAGCGTGAGATAAGCATCATGCGTTTAAAGACTTTTAGAGGCCGTTAAAAGGAACAACCGAAATTCTCCTTTGAAGGGATTTAGCCCCAGTGCAAGCCTTTGGATCACAGCTGTCAATCAACCACTATGGCGCCGCCCACTGGTGCGGCTCCGCCTATAAACGGCGCCCGTGAACTCGAGGGACTGTCTTTCATACACCAAAGCTCAGGGAGTAAGGATGCCTGCTTCTCCAACGGGGTTTGGAAACTTCTTCATGGACAGAAACATCAACATGCCCGCTGGATATCAATTATTGGGCTGTCCGCCTGGAATGCAACAGCCACCGCCACATCTTGTGGGAATGGCTGGGGTTCCCTTACCTTTCCCAGGAATACCGGGATACAGTTTCATCCCTTATCCTCATCCGGGACACATGGCACACATTGTAAGCATTCTGAATGATTTTTATATTGCATAAATAAATTTATATTGAAATATTTATATTAATTTGTAAGTCGCTTTGGATAAAAGCGTCTGCTGAATGACTAAATGTAAATATGTATTAAATTTCAATGCAAATCCATCGTAAATAAAATGTGTAGATTTTGTACGTATTACAAGTGGTGTAATGAATATAGAAATAAAACATGACAGACTGAAAAAAATCTTTATTATTGTATTGCAACATGCATATTGTTCATTTTCTAAAACCGACTCTCTTGCTTACTTTCAGAGCAATTCCTATGACCTCAAGGCTGCATCTCCGTATCACCAAGCTCTCCTCGGACGTGGGGGACCCTATTACACTCCATATCGTCCCATGCCAGCTGATGACCCGAGTAGGGTCACCAAAGTGGCCACCAGGGAGAGCACCAGCGCTTTGAAGGCCTGGCTCAGCGAGCACCTGAAAAACCCATATCCCACTAAAGGCGAGAAGATCATGCTCGCCATCGTCACCAAGATGAGCCTCACGCAGGTGTCGACCTGGTTCGCCAACGCCCGGCGCCGCCTGAAGAAGGAGAACCGGGTCAGCTGGGCCTCCAGAGGAAAATCCGACGAGGAGGACGAGGAAGAGGAGGGTGAGAGCGAAGAGGAGGGATCTTTGAGGAAAGGCACGGAGGATGAAGACGAAATCGATCCTCAAACAGTTGATGAGGAGGAGGATGTCGCGGGGTCAAAGTCGGTTGAGGACCGTTTAGCGGAAGGACTGGATCAGCAAAAGGAAAGTGACAAGTCTGACACGTCCTGTGAGACCAAAAAAGAGGTGTGTAAACAAAACGTCGAAGTCCAGAAACCTAAAATCTGGTCTCTCGCGGAAACCGCGACTTCAGATATCGTCAAGAAACCCAGCGATCTGAAACATCTCCACAGTCCAGAGTTTGGAAAGTGGTGGGCTGGATGGCCTTCAAGGGACTCCTACTCTCCTGTAAACCTCTCCACACATGACCTTCTCAAACAGAGTCAATGAAACCGTTCATTCAAGACACTATGAATTTTGCACTTTGAAAACCATTGGTAACGTTTTGTTGTGGAAGTTTGCATACAAGATTTAATCCAATGCCTGGTTTAAAAACCAAAGGACTGTGTAAATATTGTACAGTTATTTTGTTTAAATTATAAATGCATTTACCTGCTGACTTATTTTTGCTAAAATAAAACGTTGAAAAATGTCAACATTTTGGTCATGGTCAATGGTAAGTCTGTTGAAATAATTTAAAAATAGTTGCACTGGTTTGCATTTAGTCTTAGTTGGAGTACTTTCGATATCCAGTAGTTTCTTAAAGTCCTAAAAACCCATTAATTAAAGAAATAAGTCACGAAAACTTCCCATTTCAGTGAATTTAACTCGCGTAAGTGTTAATAGCCGCAATGAGAAAAGAAAAAAAAAAAAGGCAAAACAGCAACGTAATTAAAAGGACCATTGTTTAACAAACAGGAACCTTATTAAATTTAATAATCGAAATAAAAAAATAAGAAGAAGATCCTTATGCTTTTTACACAAGCAAAGCATCAACATGATGGAAACTGTATAGGCCTACTGGCTTTATCCATGATCACACTCTCAAAGGTGATGATACACGGGGAAACTTTTTGAGCAATGTTGCCATCAACGGGCACCCAGACACAGGGCCCACGACCGATCTAAAGTGTCCAGATAGACATTTGTTGCCCATTCTCAATGGGAAAGTGCCCAAGCAACATCGCTCGGCAACATTGCTCAAAAAGTTGCCCCGTGTATCATCACCTTAAAACCTTTTAAAGTACGTGTTCACAATAGAACTTTATATATGATAATTGACGTCGTTCAAGAAGAGTTCTCAGATTTTGGAGGCAGATCAAGACGCGTTCAAAGCGTTTCACTTCAAGGCTAGATTTAGGCTTCGTGTTATCAGTGAGGACACTACTATTAAGGGATTTGCATATCTGGCTCTGATCTGTTAAAACAATTCAGAGCAGCGCGGATTAAGGACATGAATTGTTCCGTCGTAAAGGGTGATAATTAAGATTATTCTGTTTAGTCACGACTTGACAGACGAAAAGTGCCAGAGGCATCTACCTTTACCCTCATTTAATGCTTAAATGTAGGTGCTATGGGATCAAACATGAACAAAGTGACTTGTGACAAAATAAATGGTATACTGACACAAAAAGTCAAGCGCAAAAAGTTTAAACTGAAAGTAAAGCCAACTTGAAGTATAATGATTTGATTTGATTAAAATAACATTATAATACAGTATAGAATAAAAAACTTGAGCAAAACCATAAAAGAAGTCCAAATGGTTAAATAAATATATAAATAAATAGGCTATAATAAATAAATAAATAAAAGTCGAAAGGTAGTAGTAGTAGTAATAATAATAATAATAAAATGAACGAAGATGGTACTCACAATTAAATATAGAATAAAAATACTTGAGCAAAAAAAAAAAAAAAGTCCATAATAATATAAATAAATAAATTTAGCAATTTATTATAACACAACCAACTTGCAATTAAAATCCCATAGCACCTACATTTAAGCACTTACTTGCAATTAAAATATCCTGTGCATATTTCACCAGCCATATAACTTAACTGCTACTGATGGAATGGCGTCAGAAACATTTTTTAAATGTCAAATAAACTGCTCCATCAAAAATCTTGCATCCTTTGGTTTCCTTTATAAATCTCTCTGACACAAACACACCAATGGGATTAGGCCTTGGGACAATATTCTGTTTTTGGCCTCCCCTCTGCAGAGGGAATGATAAAAGGAAAACTCTTCCTTGCCAATCACCATGGCCTCCATGTAAATTCAAAGGCCTGTGGCCTGTTAATCCAAGGATAATGAGAAAACCCCTGGGTACAAAAAAAGGAGCACCTCCTACCCGCCCCCCGAGCACATATTCACAGCTAACACACACTGGGCACAACAATCTCCTCCATGCCCCCCTTTCAGTGGCCCAAATGATGTGTAATCCCAGTCTAAACAAGACAGGCAAAAGATATTGAGATAAGGATTGAACAATGGTGTGAGATACAATGCCTAAATCGGCCATCAATGGGCTTCCCGATCCGAGCATATGGTCATATGCTTTGGGTACTATAGCCTAATTTATAGTTCAACAAGCTACTTTTGGATTTGTTTGTTTAGATGTATACAAAAATATAAGCTTTAGCAGTCAAAAATCTACACATCACTACAACAAACCTTTTTCTAAAAAATGAAGGGAGTTGGTTGAAGAAAAATCATGTTGTGGTTTTTATGTGAAGCAAAAGTGAGGTTGAATGTTGAACTGTTTTATGCCAAAATACCTCAAATATGGAAATGGCAACCTCTTGTGGACAGTCAGAGTATCCCACAATGCATGAGCGATTCATCTACAACTCGGTTTTCACACCATTTGTCAAGTTTTTCTGTGGACATTTCACACCTCATAAGTAGCAAATGAATATTTTACAGTACTTACAGTGACCCACGGGCAATTATTCATGACGAATCAAGAATGATTTAATATGTAGGCTACAGAGAATCACAAATTATTTCATAACCTACAACATTCACAATAAAAGTAACAAAAATGGTAATGTACAAAGGAAATATTTACATAAAATACAAAGCAACAGAGATTTCACAACATTTAACAGTTTAAATGTCTAAGATCAAGATTACAAAGACAAAACATTAGAAACATATTATACATGATTTTGTGAACATAATTAATCTCACACTTCTGCACCACATTATTTTCAATCCCAACTGACACTTTTATGTTCTAAGAACGTTCTATGAATGTTCAAAACTTCCATTTTTAAGTTATACAAGCATTTAGGAACACATTAGCTGAATAACCTTCAAAGTGTGCAATCCTAAATATAAAGTACCAAGCATTGGGATGCATGTGTGTTTTGTGCAGTCTTTCTGCATCACATTGGTGTTATTATGAGTCTTTTTCTTATCAAACTACAGCTGAAGTGGGGAAAATCTCCTTAGGAGCTTTGAAGTGTTTCACTTCTTTTCTTCCTTACTCTTCTATCAACCTGGTCTCATAAAAATATGTACCTCTGGGTACGTTTCGCCGCAGTTTCAAAGAGAAATGTCCACTGAGTGGCGCTAAAGCACGGGTTCAATACGTGAGCACTGACACGTTTTTATTACGTTGATTTAGGTACGTATTGCTGTGTTTTTATTACGTTGCTTCAGGTACGTATTGCGGTGCTTCAGAATTCAAATATCCGGGGACTGTCGCTAAAACTTAAAGGTCCCCTGAAATGCTTAGAAACAGGCAGCGTTACTCTATGTGTTGACGTCATTTAAACTGAATCAGGAAGACAGGGCGGGACCATAGACTGTATAAAAACGGGCATGACATATCAAGCAGCCCCGCCCCCTTTTAAAATAGCCAATAGCGTTCGTTTATATCACAGCTTGGGCTAGAGCCATTCAGAGCCGTTGAGCTCGGTAAAGCCGCATTTGACAGGGTATGTCAGCCACAATCTCATCCATATTGCTATAAAATATAGTATTCTGTGTAGAATTCAAATAGCTCTGATACATTTTGTGGTCTGCGCCGACTCGCGCATGTGATCCGCTCCGTGCTATCGTGTCTCTGGACCGGAGCAGAGTGTGTGTGCGGTGCGGTGGTTAGCGTGACACAGCGCGAAACCAGACTTCTTTTTTTCCTCAATGGAAAGCATATTTACACTGTTTGAATCGTTCCCTGTCCCCTATATAGTGCACTACGTGCCATTCACTGTACAGAAAATACTAATTCTGTGGACAAGTGACCGATTTCAGCCGCGGCTTCAGCGTCTAGAGTGTAGGGGGCGGGCGCTTCGGATTCTAGAGAGCATTTGATTGGACAGAAAGTTTGATGAGAAGCTGAAGTACGATGTGACGTCAAAAAATCGTTGAGCCGTTTTGGCGGAAGTGACGAACTGCAAGCTTTTAATGCTTATATCTTCTAAATGCGAATTTTGTCACTGTTTTGGAGCACCCTGCCTTATAGATAACCTTAAGACTAACATATTGATACTAACACCCAAAAAACTTTAATTTTGATTTCATGGGGACTTTAATGCTCTATCATGCCCTACACCAAACCCACCCCTAAACCGATAGTGTTAACAAATGCAAAACTGATATAAAAACCGGAGCTCCTCGCGTCTCAAGTACGTCTCCGTACTCCGTGAGCTACCGAACAAACGTACCGTCTATGAAAACCCATAGATATGAAGTTGGATATGTGTGATGCTAACATTCAAAAGCGTCAGTTTTCAAATCTCCCAGCATATTAAAATTGTTTTGAAGTCTCAACATAATATTCTTCAAGTAATTGTGCGAAAATTACGTTTATTAATCGAAACTCTGTAAATTTGTGTGAAAAGGAATAAAAGGTGTCGGAGTTTTACTGCCTCTAGTGTTCATTTCTTTTGGAACCTGCAGTGATATGTACTTATTGGTACGTATTTCGCGTCTCGCTAACGTACGCCCCCGGGTACGTTTTTGCCATGAGACCAGGTTGCAACATATTCTGCATGACCATATTCTACATCCCCTCTATTCAGCACTAGTAGTGTCGAGTGCATGGGGAGGGTATGCAGCATTTCGTATCAATCACAGGACGCAAGTGGCAATACAACGGCAAAGGCTTTCAGCAGCAATAAGTATTTTCTCAACAAGGCTCATGTTGAGGAGCTACTGTTTCAGTCATGATTGTGTAAGACACATGCAGGTTTTGGGACATTTAGAGTAAAGCAGAGTAAAGTCCTTTATAATGTAATGCTCTATATGTTGATGGTTGTAACATGATGGGAGGACAGGACAGCTATCTACTTTGTAGAAGACTTTGCTCTATAAATGTGAATATGAATTTGATTCAGCACTTGGATAGACAGGTCCTTTGCCCTGCTCTTGATCTACAACATTTCCATTTTCAGTCCTGTTACTTGGCGTGGGGCTCACGGGTCCGCTTGTATCAACGTCCTCCTCGGGCTGTTGATTTAATGGTTGGATTGCTCTCTCAACATCTGCATCTTGATGCAGTGTTCTTATATTTAAGCCTGCTATCTTTGGGGCCTGTTTGGGGAGCTAAAAACAAAACAATCATTATTATTAATCTCCACACATGGGAATGACTATTCCATGCGATTAATCTCAGAAAGACAGTGTATGTCTTTGCATTATGTTGCATATGTATGAATAGTAAATAGACCTTTACCTCTATCCAGCCTTTATGTCCTAGAGGAAATTAAGAGAGCAATTATTGGTAAACTCTTTTGATTTAGCAAAGCTATAATGTGATATGAGTACTTGATCAAGGATAGTTCACTCAAAAATGAAAATTCTGTCATTATTTACTCGCCTTCAAGTTTTTCCAATCCTGTATACGTTTTTTTTTTCTTCTATATGGAACATAAAAGACGACATTTTGAAGAATGTTGGTAACCATACAGCTGTTGGTCCCCATTGACTTCCATAGTATGGAAAAAAAATACTATAAAAAGTCAAAGGGGACCAGAAACTGTTTGGTTACCCACATTCTTCAAAATATCTTCTTTTGTGTTCAGCAACTGTAAGAAATCCATGCAGTATGGGGTGAGTAAATAATGACAGAATTTTTGGGTGAACTATTCCTTTACAAACTGTATTGTAGATAAATGCAGTAAATAATTTGTAGGTTGCGGTACATACTTTTTGCGTAGTATATTGCAGCTCCAGCTATTAAGATGAACAGAAATATTGCAACTCCCAACCCAATTGCAGCTCTGTGAGTGGGTCTACCATCCACTGAAATGTGACAAACAAAACACACAACAAGCTCAGATGACAATCTTCTAATAGTACTGGTGATCAAAACGTTACTACTGACAGCATTGTAAAACATTTTAGTGTGTGTTGCAAACATGTCACAGTCTTTTTTCAAATAAACATGATTTTCTGATTCTGGTGAAGTGATCACACCAGTTTAGCCATAGAGGAACTGGACTCCACCCACACAGCTCTCAAGTTTCACTACTGTACTTTCAACAGCCCACATGACCTCTTTTAGGAACTAACAACAGTATCAGTTTTACTGACAATTAAACAGTCATATTGACAGTCACTAAACGCGAGATCACATTTTACAGTGTACTCACCACAGATTCGGTCTGAGGTTGAACTGCCAGGAGCGTTTTTATCATATCCATATTCACATCTAGACATAGGAGAAAAAAAACAACAGAAATTTAGACAGACAGTAAATAAAACAACTATTTATTAACTACTTATTCTGCATGCTGGCCAAACAAACAAAACAATTCTGACATAAACCATAAATCTGATGACCAAATTAAAATATATAATAAAAATATACACTAAATATATAAACAAAAAATATACACTACTGTTTAAAAAGTTGGTAAAATCTTTTAATGTCTCTTTTGCTCACTAAGTCTGCATTTGTTTGATCAAAAATACAGTAATGACAGTTATATTGGAATTTAAAATAGCTATTTTTATTTAAAGGGGTCATATGATGCGATTTCAAGTTGTCCTTTCTCTTTGGAGTGTTACAAGCTCTTGGTGCATAAAGAAGATCTGTAAAGTTGCAAAGACTAAAGTCTCAAATCCAAAGAGATATTCTTTATAAAAGTTCAGAGTCAGCCACAATTTATTCCTGTGATGCAGGGATTTTCTGCATCATTACTCCAGTCTTCACTGTCTCATGATCCTTCAGAAATATGCTGATTTGGTGCTTAATTATGATCAATTATTATTGGTGCTTAATTATTAAAAAGGGCTCATAACTATGAATGTTGAAATCAGTTTTTGCTGCTTAATATTTGGAAACTGTGATACATTTTTTTTTTCAGGATTCTTTAATGAATAGAAAGTTCAAAACAGCATTTATTTAAAATTGGGATCTTTTGTAAGATTATGTCTTTACTGTCACATTTGATTAATTTAATGCATCCGTACTGAAAAAAAAGGTATTAATTTAAAAAAATCATACTCACTCTAAACTTTTTAAACTGTATTGCATGTTTTGTTTGGTACAGTTCCATCAAATTATTTCAGTCATTTCATTTATAATGACTCAATTAACCTGACTTCATTAGGTTACACCAACATAAGTCATTTAAAAGGGTTAGATCAGGTAGAAATAAAAATTGTAGGCAACGCTTGCATGTTACTGTGTAGATTAAACTCAGAATTACACTAGAAACAAAAGTCCCCTTTTCCTTCTTTTAGTACAGTATATGAAAACAGCACTGGCACAATTAAAGGAGGAAAAAAGATTTTTCATACATTGCCCATTCCTCGCAAGTGTCAGCTGAATCATGGGTGGAGAATGTTCCATTTTTACATGCCTCACACACAGTATCACTAACCGGTGAACCTGCGAAAAAATAAGCTATATTTGAACAACAATGATTATAAAAACTCTAAATCACATCTAAAATTATGGTCTAAGGGATGTGACATATTATTATTCAGGAGGTACAGTTAAGCACAGAGTCAACATTAACCAGTGGGTTTCAAACTGACTCTTACTTCAGACAGCACAAACCTTTTCTGACGACTCTCTGTCCTGGCTTGCAAACTTTGTGTTCCCTACAAGTGTTGCAGTCATCATCTTGCGTACAGTAGTATCCAGCTTCACACTGACATTTGCTTAAACTGGTCTTACTGGGATTTATTATTCAGGAGGTACAGTTAAGTGCAGAGTCAACATTAACCAGTGGGTTTCAAACTGACTCTTACTTCAGACAGCACAAACCTTTTCTGACGACTCTCTGTCCTGGCTTGCAAACTTTGTGTTCCCTACAAGTGTTGCAGTCATCATCTTGCGTACAGTAGTATCCAGCTTCACACTGACATTTGCTTAAACTGGTCTTACTGGGATTAATTTGTGGCTGAAAATGTAAATCTGAATTAAACAGAAAAGCAAGAGAAAAAACGGTAAGCTTCAGAAAACCCTTATATTCATTTACAGTTACACGTATACATTTAGCAGACACGGTCATCCAAACCTTATCAATTTATCATTAATATTCTTGACTAATATTAGTGATTCATATTATGTTTAATAATTTATTGTTAATATGAATAGATATTAATAGTATGCTATAGTATCACCTGAGATTAAACGTTATCTCCATTAGACTATTTTTCTCTAATATTTCAGCAGTAATACTTTAACCTATGGACACTCACTGGGGTCACAGCTGGGCTGGCGTTCACATTTGGTTTTACTTGTGTAGCCGCTCTGATACTCTCCGTCTTGGCAGTCCTGACAGCGCGGGTCCTCGCAGTTGTCGTCCACCAGCATCCTCTTACCTGTGACACACTCTCTGATTAGACTCGTATATTAAAAGAGAGTCGTATATTAACCACTGCTCTAGATTATGCCAGTTTAATGTCACGCCACATTTAATTACAGTTCGTCCACATACCTGGTCCACACTTCTTGCAGCATTTATCTTGCTTCCAATAATGTGTTTCCTCCTCACAACATGACACAAGGTACAACAATGTGACCTGTCAAAGGTAAATGCACAAGGAACATTATCAAAGAATATTCATTCATTCTTGTGCTGTGCTGAAAATCCTTTACCTAACTGGTGTCCCCGATATTGCTTGTAAATCTTGGATTCAATTTTTTTTGTAAACTTGTTTTCTGTCAATTAGGACAGGTTCAGAACTGATTGGTCGTAGGCCTTATTGATCTGAGTTTATGCAACTCTGTTTTTGAGTGAAAACAAGCATTATTTGTGGAACATTTTGGCAATGTTTATTTAAAAACTGAGGAGCTCAGATCAGTGAAACCTACGATCAATACAAAACTTGTGCGATTGAAAGAAAAGTTGACAAAATAATTGAATCCAATATTTGGTAATATTATAGTATAATGAGAGACTTTCAAGCAGTTTTTAAATTTTTTTTGCAGGCTGGTCATTTTTTTTTGGCTGGGATCAATTGTAACAAAAAAGTACAAAAGCTATCCATTTTGGGAAGTTGTTATACCCTGTGTGAGTTAAGTCAGTAAGTTTTAATCCAATGCGACAACATTAACTAGCATTTTGGTGAAAAAGAAAATCCTCTATGGGTCGAAATGACCAGAACACAACATGAGCGTGTATCATACGCGGAAATCCATCTGAGGGTTGTCCCCCCCTAAAAATATGATTAAAAACCACGCTGTGCATTGTAAATAACAATGTTTTAGGCTTTAATCAATTGTAAGTAGTAAAACAACACAAACGGGGCAAAAATGCGTTTTAAGTTTAGAAACATTTTGAGTCTCCCCCTCCCTTGCCTCACTTTGGTCCAAATGTCTGCTTACGTCTTTTACATCACCTACACACACACACACACACAAGTCCGGTGAGAGAGAACAAAGCCAATAGTTGAGGAAGTCCAGTAAGTAAGGCTGTCAAGGCTATTTTATTCACTTAAACATC